TTTTAGTAGAGACGGGGTTTCACCATGTTGACCAGGATGGTCTCGCTCTCTCGACCTCGTGATCCACCCGCCTCGGCCTCCCAAAGTGCTGGGATTACAGGCTTGAGCCACCGCGCCCGGCCGACTAGACCCTATTAGTTGACGGTGTTGTTGAGTTCTTATACGCTTATGCTGATTTTCTGTTTTGTCTTTTGTCAGTTTAATTTACAGGCCTTGGCTGGGCATGGCTCACACCTGTAATCCCACCACTTTGAGAGGCTAAGGCAGGAGGATCACTTGAGCCCAAGAGTTCGAGACCAGCCTGGGCAGCCTAGACTCTCATCTCTACAAAACATTGTTTGAAAATTGGCTGAACATAATAGCACATGTCTGTGGTCCCAGCTACTTCAGAGGCTGAGGTGGGAGGACCGCTTGAGCTCAGGAAGCCACGGATGCAGTGAGCTGTGATCGTGCCACTGCACTCAAGCCTGAGTGACAGAGTGAGATCCCGCCTCAAAAAAAAAAATAATTTTTTGGAGGCCCCATAAACTGAACAAAATATAATAAAGAGAAAGCTTTTCCTCCTCAATACTAGCTTCATAAAGAACTGGAAAGTGTTCCCTTCTGTTCCGTTATCTGGAAGAGAGTATGCAGAATTGTTGTTTATTCCTTAAATAGTTGGTAGAATTCTCCAGTGAAAGCTTCTCCAATGAAAGTTTCTTTGGAGATTTCTTTTTGGAAATTTTATTGCAAATTCAGTTTCCTAATGGTCATAGTGCTACTCAAAGTATCCTTTTCTTTAAGAGGTGGGGTCTGGGGCCAACGCGATGGCTCAAGCCTGTAACCTCAGCACTGTGGGAGGCCAAGGCAGGCAGATCACGAGGTCAAGAAACGGAGACCATCCTGACCAACAGGGCAAAACCCCGCCTCTACTAAAAATACAAAAATTAGCTGGGCGTGGTGGCGCATGCCTGTAGTCCCAGCTACTCAGGAGGCTGATTCAGGAGAATCACTTGAACGCAGGCGGCGGAAGTTACAGTGAGCTGAGATTGTGCCACTGCACTCCAGGATGGTGACAGAGTGAGACTCCGTTTCAGAAAAAAAAAAAAAGAGAGAGATAGGGTCTTACTCTGTCAGCAGGTGATTCTTCTGCCTCAGCCTCCCCAGTAGCTGGGACTATAGGCACATGCCAGCACACCTGGCGAATTTTTGGGCTTTTGGTAGAGATGGGGTCTGGCTATGTTGCCCAGACTACAAAGTATCTATTTAATATTGTGTGAACTATGGTAACTTGTGTTTTTTAAAAGAGTTGGTTCACCTAGGTCTAAGTCAAATGGACTTGAATAGAGTTGTGTATAGTATTTCCTTATATTCTTTCATTGTCTTCAGGCTCTATAGTGCTGCCCCATATTTCATTCCTGATAGGAAAAATTTATTCATTTCCTTTGTTTTTCTTTGTCAGTTAATCTTGCTGGAAGTTTAT